AAATATATATTTTCTGTCTCCTTGCATCCTAACATGGATTTTTGCAATAAACACAATTTATTTTTAATTAAATGTGAAGCTGTTTGCTGAGTGAGGGGTGCTCTGTACCAGCTAGGTGTGTCCCCACATATTATATAAAACCTATAAAACCAGGCCCATCCAGCTGTATTAACTCATTATTGCCTCTTTGGAGAGATCAGGATTTGACAATCGTTCTTTTTTTCTTTGTCAGATCTATTTTTACAGACTCATGCCTGGGAGAAGGGAATCTGAAAATGATAGAGATTGCAAAGCAGGTAATCAATATATCCGAGTGCTGAGATTAAAGAATTATTTTACTTTGTGTCCGCCACCACAATCAGCGTCAGCCGTGGGCACCAATACCGGCTGATTATACTTTATCACATCAAAAGCCACCACTAAAAGAAGTGATTGTCAGAAAATCTGTTCCCTGGGAAACCGTGCATAGCAATTTTATTTTTATTTTTGTATAAGCGTGTGTATATGTATGGATAAGAATGCAGTGTGTAAGGCGCTTCAGAATAGAATAAATACACGTGAGCAAAGTTAAGTGGGTTGTGTGACTGATATAATAATAATGCTTCCCTAACACTGTAACCATGGAATACCAAAAACAGAGTTAAATATCAGTGTATAGACACAGGGCCGGTGCAAGGATTTTTGCCGCCCTAGGCAAATAAAAATTTGCCGCCCCCCCCCCCCCCATGTCCTGCCCACCATGTAACATCACAATGCCCCGCCCATATGGGCCAACGCCAGTCTTCACAAAGTGTCTTTTATCTGAAAAGACAGTGTGTTAACATTAAAAAGCCTACAGGCACAGGCTATGCTATAGACACCAGAACCACTACATTATGCTGTAGTGCTTCTGGTGACTATAGTATCCATTTAATGTGAGATTAGTGCCACTAATAATATATTGGATTGCCTACTTACCACCAGATGAGGACAAGAGGCTGATGATGGGCTCAGTCTGGCTCCACAGGTCTGGTGTAGAAGAGGCTCTCTGGAGACTGTTTTTAACAGTGCTCACAACAATTAACGAACAGGAAGCAGCTCCATTTTTAGGGCCCCTTACACAGCTCAAGGTCTGGGCCCCCAGGGCTTGACCATGAGTATGCCTACAATGCCCACCCATAAATACCTACATGGCCCACCCATGAGTTCTCTCACAAGAAGTGTAGTGTATGTGTGTAAGGGATGTTTTATGTGTTATTGTAGAGGATGCAATGTGTGTGTTCTTATACAATCTAGTGTATAGGGATACCAATTTGTATAAGGGATGTAGTGTGTTTATAGGGGATGCAGTGTGTGTTTGCGTGTAAGGAATGCATTGTATGTTTCTGTGTGTGTAAGGGGTGCAAGGTGTGTTTCTGTGTATGTAATTGAATGCAGTGTGTGTCTGTAAGGGGTGCATTGATTGTGTAAGAGATGCATTTTGTTTCTGTGTGTAAGAGAATGAGTGTTTGTGTGAGCGTAAGGGATGCATTGTGTGTTTCGGGTGTGTCTGTGTGTGAGTAGGAATGCATTGTATGTTTCTGTGTGTGTGTGGGGGGGGGAATGCATTGTGTTTGTGTGTAGTGTAAAAGAGAGGGTTTGTGGGGTAGGATAGGGACTGAGAGGGGAACAGCTCTTTATTTTAAAAAAAAAAATTCATAGTGCTCTCCCCTCCTGTCAATTATTGATTTCCCCTTCCCTCCTGTCCCTCCGTGTTCTACCCCTTCTGTCCCTTAGTGCTCTCCCTTGGCCCCCTGTCCCTCTGCAGTCCCCCCTTGGTGGTCTTCTCACTCCCCCCTCTTTCCCTTAGTGGTCCTCCATCCCTTCCCTTAGTGGTCCTCCCTCTCCCAAACCCCTTAGTAGACCTTCCCCTCCTCCCCCCACCCCCTTAGTGGTAATCCCCCCCCCTCAGTGGTCATTACCCTCCCCCTCCCTTAGTGGTCCTCCCTCCTTACCCCCCTTTGGTGGTCCTTCTCCCCCTTAGTGGTCCTTACTCCCCCCCACTCCCCTAATGGTCCTTACTCCCCCCCTCCCTAATGTCATACTCCCCCCCCTCCCTAATGGTCTGACTACTCCCTCCCCCACTCCCCTAATGGTCATACTCCCCCCTCCTCTAATGGGTCATACTCCCCCCACTCCCCATGGTCCTTACTCCCTCCCCCTCCCCTAATGGTCCTTGCTCACCCCTCCCCCTCCCTAATGGTCCTTACTCCTCCCCACTCCCCCCTCCCTAATGGTCCCTTACTCCCCCCACCCCTAATGGTCCTTACTCCCCCACCCCTAATGGTCCTTGCTCACTCTCCCACCCCACCCCTAATGGTCCTTAGTCCCTCATGTCGCCACTCCCCCACCCCTAGTGGTCCTTGCTCCTCCCTCCCCCCCCCTCCTAATGGTCGCCTCTCTCCACCCCTAATGGTCCTTGCTCCCTCCCCTCCCCCCCACCCCTAATGGTCCTTAGTCCCTCCCACTCCCCCCCCCTCCCCTATTAGTGTACCCCTCCTGTGGCGTGGCGGGCTGGCAGGCATGGAGACAGGAACCTCTGTTTCCTGTACCCGGCCGCCGGCGGACTGAAGGGAAGTGCTCACTCAGTGAGCACTTCCTGTCATTCCGCCGGCGGCCGGGTACAGGAAACAGAGGTTCCTGTCCCGCGTTCCGCGCCCCCTGCTAAGTTGCGCCCTAGGCGGCTGCCTAGGTCGCCTTACAGGTGGCGCCGGCCCTGTATACACAAATCCCAATGGGTTGAATAATAAGTTACTACATCTATATGTAGATGTAGTAATATAATACGCCTAAAATATCAATATAAAAAACAACATAGTGTGAACTGTTTAAAACACTTTGTCTAAAATAAATATAGGACTACCACTCACATGGCTCAGAGCCGTACCAGGCTCTGTATAGCCGGCTCGAGGGTGCCAATACTGGCTTTTCAATTCACTGATAAAGTAGCAGAAGATGGGACTTCAGATGTGTAGTCAAAAATGAACTTTATTTAAGTATAACATTAAAACTCAAGGTATTTTACTAGAATGGTAGTGGAACTAAAAGTGCATAAATCCAAATGGTAAAAAAACAGGGTCCACTCACCACCACAAAGACAGTAACCCGGAGTATCAAAACAATATATAATATAAAAATACAGCAGACGCGTTTCACCCGGTAAGCCGCCTTCCAGTGCTGATGATCAGTTCAAATGTTCGTCTTTTTATGTCCCATCTTCTTACAATCACCTGTGTGCAGTTTTCGAATCACGGAACGTCACTTCCGGTTTTGTGCTTGACGCCACTTCCTCTCACGTCTCGGTGGAACGCACGTATGGAACGCAGCATTCAATGTGATTAGGAGTCCCGCCGGAACATAGCATTAGTTCAATAGTTCCGATACTTTTACTTGTATCTCGGTATAGGAAACAGAACAATTAGTTTAAATAACGTATATAACACCCTTGAGCCGGCTATACAGAGCCCGGTACGGCTCTGAGCCATGTGAGTGGTAGTCCTATATTTATTTTACACAAAGTATTTTAAACAGTTCACACTATGTTATTTTTTATATTTATATTTTAGGCGTATTCTACTACATCTACATATGGGTGTGTGTGTGTGTATATATATATTCTGTCACTTGTACGGAAATGTCAGTGTTCAATACGATATTGAGAGTCACCTATAACTTGTGTGTTTATTCATTTTGTTTGATTTCTATCCTTTTGATCAATAACAACATAAATATATTTTTAAAGAAACACTCATTCATTGGAATTAAGTTGTTATGGTGCTAGGTGGTCCCTGGCGCCGGCTTACCTTGACAAACGCTGGTTTAACCCTAAAATCCAGTCATTGAAGTTGTTATGGTGCCTGGAGTGTTCCTTTAACCTTAGTATTTTCCTTTATTGTATTCGATTCACCCTCTGCCTTTAATAATTAAGATAATTCAAGTTGTAAAATGCAGCTGTGATGTAATAGTCTCCTATCAGCCATTCTCAGGCTGACCTGTGGCACAAGCATGACAACCACCGTGCATCGCCACTCAGATTCTTCTCTTCTGGAAGCGTTGATTCCATAGAGAGAGCTTACAGAGAGGAGGAGAAATGAAACAATGTTAATATTTCTCCTCTTCGTTTGCATTGTGTGCCCTGCCTGTGCCTTGCCTGAACTGTACTATGATGTCATTTGCTAAATCTGTAACATAAATTTTAAAGAACACGGAGCAACTCGTGAAAAATGTGGTTTACTCAAGTTATAGGTGATTTTCAAGGTTTGTTCAATGGTTTAAATTCTAGAGAAGTGACCGCTTATGCTTCTACTCAAAATACAACATAGTAATTCTAGGATGCTGCAGTGACACCTAGTGGCTAAATTTGGGTAGCTCAGCATTAGTCCGTTATAGGTTGTAAATTTAAATGTTTCCACTTATAATTTATAAAGTGCCAACAAATTCTGTAGCGCAGTACAATGGGTGGACTAACAGACATGTTTTTGTAACCAGACGAGTTAGATGCACATGAACAGAGGGTGTTAAGCGCCTGCTCAAACTAGAGGAAAGGTTGGGATGCATTTCATTAATGGAAAAAAGTATTTTATTGGAATCTTTTACAGTGAAAGGGTTAGTTTATTGGATAACACAGTTATTATTATTATTGCAATTTATATAGCGCCAACAGATTCCGTAGTGCTTTAGTGCAGGTGAGGAAGTAGAGCCGGTTACTAAGATGTGGGGAGGGAAAGCTCTTATTGTTTGATTGACACGCTTTCCTGAAGAAGTGAGTTTTCAATGATTTTTTGAAGGAGTGGAGACTGGGTGAACGTCTAACAGAGCAGGGAGGGAAGTTTCACAGGAACAGTGCAGGCGTGGAGAAATCTTGGAGGTGAGCATCAGAGGTGGGAGTACAAACGGGTTAGGTTAGACGTAGGTCTTTGACAGACTGTAGCGGCCTAGACAGGACATACTTGTTTATAAGTGAGGATAGGTCGGTGGGAGCAGCGTTGTGCAGCTATTTGTTAGCAAGCACCAGAATTTTAAATTGAACCCTGTATCTTATGGGAAGCCAGTGTAGGGACTGACAGAGAGGTAAGGCGTGGACGGGTAGGAAGACTCACCTCACTGCCACATTCATTATAGACTGCAATGGGCCAAGGCGAGAGAGGACCAGCACCATGGCCGTATCCGGCGTTAGATGGGGGTAGATGTGAGCAGTGTCTGAGATGGAAGCAGCAGGATTTGGCAATTGATTGGACATGAGGGGTGATGGAGAGGTTGAAGTCGGAGAGAACACCTAGGCAGTGAGCCTGGGAGGTAGAGCTGATGGTGGCGCCGTTGACTTGGAGGGAGCAGCAACATTTGAGAGAGAAAAGACCAGTTTTGGACAGGTTGAGTTTAAGGAAGTGAGCAGCCATCCAGTTGGAAATATCAGAGAGGCAGTTAGGGACATGAGTCAAGATGGACAATGAGAGATCAGGAGAGGACAGGTAGAAATAGGAGAGAGGAGCACCCACTGGAATTAGCAGCAATTAAATCATTGGATACACTGTCTGTTTGGTTTTGTTTTGCTGTTTGTTTTTATTGTTGGGGGCAGGATTGTTTTTTTGTTTTTATCCACTTTCTCGATGTTTTTATAGTCAAAGTGAAGAAAATAACCCCCTCCCTCCTGAATTCAATAAATAAATATATCTCTGTCTGTTCTATGGATGTATCTGTGAAGTTCCTGTAACCATGTAGAATGGACAGGATTGTTACATGTCCAATGGAGTTGTTCGGTGTTTGTCTAGTAATGATGTAACGCAGAGTCTGCTGTTTTGTTCTGTAATAGATCATTCTGATTATTATAAGATGCTGTTTTTCTGTAGCACGGCTCCGCTGTGAAACTTCCTGGCAGTGGGGGAGCAGTGATCGGATTGTGCCTCCATCCAAATAAACTGGTATGGAATGTCTTCTATTCAATAATTTAATCAAACCTGTGTTTATGAAGCAAAAATCCTAAATTGTGTCTCTTCATTTCAAGATGGAACTGAAGAAGGCATTTCAGGAGAATGGTTTTGTATTCTGCCACATTGTCCCCCACAGTCCGGTGACAGCCATCGTAAAGGAGGAAAGTCCTTCAGGACCGCGATAACCATCCAGTTACCATTCTCATTTCTCATCATCTTTAGGAAATGTTTGTAGTAAATAATTATGTCATTATGTAAAACAGTGTATACTTTATCTACAATTTGCTGCTGTAAAATAAATGTATGAATTACTTTCTACTCATTCTGTCAACGTGCAATTATTAAAGAAAATACAACTTTAGACAAAATAGATCTTAAAGTAATGTATGAATCCTGAAATACTATATGGAATCTGGGGTACAGTATGGAATCTGGGGTGCTGTATGGAATGTGGGGTACAGTAGGGAATGTGGGGTACAGTATGGAGTCTGGGGTGCTGTATGGAATCTGGGGTGCTGTATGGAATCTGGGGCACAATATGGAATCTAGGGTGCTGTGTGGAATCTGGGGTACAGTAGGGAATCTGGGGTACAGTAGGGAATCTGGAGTGCTGTAGGGAATCTGGGATACCATATGGAATCTGGGGTGCTGGAGGGAATCTGGGATATAATATGGAATCTGGGGTGCTGGAGGGAATCTGGGATACAATATGGAATCTGGGGTGCTGGAGGGAATCTGGGATACAATATGAAATCCGGGGTACTGTAGGGAATCTGGGGTGCTGTATGGAATAAGGAGTGTATGAATTATTAATCTAAAGCATAAAAGTTACAAATTGAAAGTATAATACACACATAATAGTTACACACAGAGGAAACTGACACGAAACTGACACAAACTTACAACTTTGGGACAAGACATAGCAGACTAAATTAAAAAAAGAGAACCTCATGTTTTATGTATTTGAAAAGAAATGAAATCCTGCAGTGTGTCTGTCTGGGAGCACTGTGTGATGTAAAGATGTGATGAGATTGTTACCAAAGAGGATAATCTCAAATAACTGGATCCTCAGACCAAAATGAATGACGAGAGACAAGGAATTGGGGTTTAGTACAGTAATAAGCCTGTTTATTATACTGTTTATTAATACGTTTGCTGATTAATATGTTTATTACAAATATATATTGTTATACTAAACCACACAACCCAAAACAGAGAAAAGTATACAAAACAAAGCAAAGCAAGATCCAGGTACATCTGATTAAAACAAAATGATCGGCGCTCACCAATAGATTATAGATTAAATAACGCGTAAGGTAAGACTCCACAAATAAAGGGAAACTCGCACCAAATTAGCATTCCCACCATTGGAAATCACCTGGAACTTGTGTTAACCTTCGTTTCATGGGATTCTCGGTTTTCGTTTACATTTCTATTAACCCCTTAAGGACTGAGACAATTGTACACGTTCCGATCAAAACAAGTCGTAAACAAAACCTGGAATTTGCGCTATATGTCTGTTAAACCGTATTTCACCTCTTTCATATTAAATGCACCCACACTTATTATATATCATTTTATACAGGAGAAATAGGGGTTTCATTTTACATCAATTATATAGATATGAAACATAATTGTATTGGAATAAAAACTAATAAATTAAGAAATGTTATTATTTTCTTATTACTGTGTGGTATTTTAACTGAGAATGTCATAATACTGTTTGCTTTTACTGCAATAAAATACACTTATTTGTGTTCAGCGATGTCTCATGAGTACAACAGTAACCCCTATGTACAGGTTTTATTGGGTTTTGAAAAGTTACAGAGTCAAATATAAGGCTTTCACATTTCTGTTTTTACACATTGAAATTTGCCAGATTGGTTACGCTACCTTGTAGACTGGATCGTAGCCTAGGAATGAGAATTACCCCCACCATGACATACCATTTTAAAAAGTAGACAACCCAGGGTATTCAAAATGGGATATGTCCTTTCTTTTTTAGTAGCCACTTAGTCACAAACCCTGGCCAAAGTTAGCGTTCATATTTATTTTTTTTGCATTTTTTACACTGCACTTTCACTAATGATATCGTTGTCATCATACGTTTTACCATTTTAAAACACTCATATTTGTGTTCAGCATAGTCCGATGAGTAAAACAGTACCCCCATGTACAGGTTTTATGGTGGGAAGTTACAGAGTTAAATATAGGGCTTGCAAATTAAATTCTCTGGCTTTCTGCCTGGGTTGTCAGGCAAGTCCCTCAAATTGGTAAATTGGTAAAATCCCATAATTATGTGAAAAGATTACACATAGAATTTAAATATATATATTATGTAATTATGTATATTATGTAATTATATATATATATATATATATATACATATAATGTTTTTCGTTATTTTTGATAATGATCATGATATGAACAAAACTGTTTTCCTGACACCATAGTGCCTTGAGGGTGCCCCCACCCTCAGGGTCCCCCTTCCGTTAAAACCCATTCAGCAGCTTACCTTATTCCAGGGCCGGGCTCCCTCGGCGCTGGTGACCTCTCCTCCCCCGTGACGTCAGCGGAGCCGAATGCGCACATTCGAAGTTGTCAATAGGAAAGTTGTCAATTTCTCAATGCTTTCCTATGGATGCTCCGCGATGGAGGCATAGCCACTAGAGGCTAGACAGCCACTAGAGGCTGGCTTAACCTCAAATGATTACATAGCAGTTTCTCTGGGTTAAAACTTGAGGGACCTAGCACCCAGACCACTTCATTGAGCTGAAGTGGTCTGGGTGACTATAGTGTCCCTTTAACCCCTTAAGACCAGAGGGCGTACTATTACGCCCTATTCTAAGCGGCTCTAAACGCTGCAGGGCGTAATAGTACGACCTCCATTTTTTTTTACTTACCCGGTCGCCAGAGATCCCACGCCGGCGATCGCGGTTGGGGGGACTCCAAGGTAGTCCTCCGCGGCAGATCCTTCCTCCTGCACCCCCCCCAGCCATGTGAGAGTAAGGTCCTTGCGAGGACCTCACAATCACATGGCCGGGTTAGCTGCCTGCTGCATTGCCAGCAGGGGGACTGCCTGTAATGACAGGTAGTCCCCCTGCTGGCTGGAAATAAAATAAAATTAAAAAGTGTAAAAAAATAAACTAATATACTTATATTATATATATATTATATATATATATGATCTAAGTATATATATACACATATACATACACACACATACACTGTCTAGGTGTATTATACTATTAATATATATAGAATTATATATATATTTATATATTAATATCAAATTACACGTAGACTGATACTGATTAAATATATATATATATATAATTATTGTTTTATATATATATGTGGCAAACCTAGCCACTTGGACTAAACAGAGGCAATATGTTTTTAAGGGTTGCCTGTATATTCATTACAATTGTATATGTGCCTGGTTGTACTATGCTGTATCTGTGTGCTGTATTGCCAGTATTAGCTATCTGCCGAAAGCAGTTAGTCATTTTCTATTTTGTTTCACGAATAGCGCCTTTGCGGGCTGTTCGTGAACCGAATGAACTATCCTGTAATAGCCCACACACTA